GCAGGTCTAGCCTGGAAGGTCCTTATACATGTATTGAGCTCCATCAAAATATTTTAAATCAAGAACTAGAACCAAATATACTAAAATGTGGTTATTTGGATAATAGTCAAGTAAGTGACTAGAGTCATTTATCTAGTTAATCATTTCATTACGAACAAAATGATTGAGAAAAGGTTAATTTTAAAAATCTAGGTTTAGTTCCTGGCATTTTGTAGTGACAAATTTTCACTTTAATGCCTTAAGAATACTTAGAGCTTTTGCTTTAGTTTTAGTGTGTTTAATGCAGGCCTGTACTCATGCAAGTCAACTCCTTGCCCATAATTTACTTGTGTGTGAAGCCCCCAATCTTATTTATGTTGCTCGAACATGGCTGAGAGAGACAGCTGTGACATTATGAATCCAGCTGGCCACAGATGAGTTTTCAGTGAAGCATGGATCCATATTGGTTTGGTGATCTGTGTGTACTGCCTCCTGTTAAAATTCAGACTCAACCACTAAATCACCTGGCATTGACTGCAACCACTTATGTATGACTAATAGACTGAAGTGAACTGGAACTTTTGTTGCTAGTGATCAAGACCCTTACTGTAATATAAACTATACTATAGTTTTATTGACTATTTAGCTCATGTTAGAATCTGTTTAGCTTAGTCACTTTGCAACAGGTTTTAATAGCCTTGGTTATCTCATGTTGTCAGGATGTTATGATAACTAACCTTTTCCAGATCTTGTATATTGAAATCTCCACATGTTTGTTATGGATTTGATGGTTAAGGTTTAAATCTCAAGGAAAAAATAATTGAAGATAGAGGCTGAGAAAAAATTTATTTAGGATCTTAAAAGCCTGTATCAATGATCAATAGTTACTTAGAAGGCTGGTAGAACTGCAAGACTTTCTAGATAGTGCAAAAAAACAAAGCATAAAAGAAAACAAAGGAGGTGTGAGTTGTTAAAATAATCAGCTAAAGCACCAAACAAAATAACTTCAATTGTGCCTCTTAGCAAATAAACTATAATTCTGAATTACTTGCTCAAATCATTAGGTATATGAAACCCCACAATTTCACATTTTTAGAGGCCAATGTGATATTCAAACTGGCTAAAATTGCTGATATAAATATATGTCTGTCTTGTTCTTTACAATCCAACCAGGAAATCTTGTTAAATGTTAATGGATATGCAAATGAATGAAACAGTAACTGAAAATTTTTATGACAGGTCTGCATATTTGTAACTTTTCTTCATATTTATCCAAAGCAGCAAAAATAAGAATAATTACTGAATAATGACTTTCTATATTATTGTTAGAGGTAGAAGACAGAACTATTCAGAGCATCACATTAGATTGTGATTTTATATATTATTTATATATTTATATAGTCTTTATATATTCTTCTTCATTTTTAAGTATATTAGTTATTTCATAAACTATCAGTACTGTCTCATCTGCATTGTTATAGCATCTAGCACTTATCATATGTCCACAGCCACACGCAAGGATTCTTTATTTTGTGCTGATATATTATTCTGGGTGAATACAGGACCGTTATCTTGCAGTCAGTCAAGAAGCTATAAATGTAGTTGGAGAGATTAAGTGAACACACAAAACAATTTTTGGAAGTTTTTAATATTTTCCTCCGTGGAAAAGTTTTTCATGATTCAATCTCATTTTATTGCTGTTTCTAGGATTTAATGTATGGAGATCTACCCATGCCATATATAAATAAATATGAACAACTTTATTAAATCATAATTTAAACAAATATTTATTAATTCTCCACTGGAGAATCAACAGTGGATAGGATTGCCAAAATAGCTTCCTGTCCTTCTGGACAGTTTTTTCTCTTGGTTTTCAGTGATATGAGCTTGTTTCTTGACATCCTAGTAATTTTGGAATGATGGACAGATGTTATGTATAAAAGTGTGTAGAGGATAAAATAAAATTTTATTTTTCCACAAAAGGTTTACTTTTTCCTTTGTTAGGTGGAAAGAGTAGAAGCTGATCACCACAATCCAGTCATGAAATGGACTGGGTAAAGGCTGGTTTACACTTTCATCAAGGATTCATCCGTCTCTGGTTTTCTATAGCCCTCCAGAGGGCTGTATTCTCTTGGACCACATTCTCTGGCTGGTTCTGAACTCTATAATAGAGTCCTCAGCATAAGGAAGTTGCCAAAGCTCCCTAATGCTTTTTAGAGATTTTACTTAGTCTTTTAGTCTCCTTCCTACTTCCTTTTGAACTGCCTACAAGTTCAGAAAGGTTTGTCAAGTGTCTTGAAAGGCAACCAGCTGTGTGTCATGCTCTGTTTTGGGCTTCTCCTTCCTCACTAGGATCTTGGCTTCTTAAGTTTCCAACGTTGTCTCTTCAGCTCACTGCGACTGCCCATTGCAAAGGGCAAAACCCAGGTTCTCATCCTCTTTCCTTGCATGCAGAGTCAGCAAGCATGCCCAGAGAAAATACAGCTAATGTCTCCACAGTTCTAATTTTCCACAATTCTCTCTAATCTGGTATCTTGATTTTTCTAGTTTTCATTGCCTCATCAATTTTAATTTTTTGATTATTTAAACAGTGTGAACACTTTTGATTAACATATATTCAGATTGTATACACATGTACAGTAGCACCACTTCATTAAAACTCCTTTTGTCAGTAACCTCCATGATACCAAATTTGTGACATTTTTTTGCATTTTAAAAAAACTTTTAAGTTCAGGAGTACATATGCAGTTTTTCTATATAGATAAACTCATGTCATGGGGGTTTGTTGTACAGATTGTTTCATCACTCAGGTATTAAGCCTAGTACCCATTAGTTATTTTTCCCAATCCTCTCCCTCCTCCCACCCTTTTCCCTCTGAAAAGTCCCAGAGTGTGGTGGAGTTTTTTTTTTCTTTCTTTCTTTCTTTCAGTTCTTGGCTGGATGGTTGATCTGTTGCGAGTGTATCCAGCCACCTGTCTCTATTTTTAGATACTAAAATAAAAGAATGATACCTTCTCTTATACACATCTATGCAATTACATGGAATATACCCTAAAATTTCCACAGTACCCCAAGATATTCTAGAACTAATTGGAAAAGTGGACAGGTGGGGCATTGAACAAGTTCTTCAAATTAGGTATCATTGAAAGAACTGGGCAATTACCAGAGCTAATCCTTTATAGTAACGTTGAGTTCACTGACCAAGAGTTGTTCAGTGATTGTGGTACTGAAGGGTGCTATGCTACACCAAGTTGTCCAAGTGAATAACTTGGGGGCTTTCAAGTGGATGCTACTTTGATTGGTGAATTCAACATGAATTGAAACTCAAGATTTGAATGTTGCTCTGGAGAGCTAAAGGTTCTGCATACTATTCTTGACTTCTTATTATGATTTATCTTAAAGGGAAGTAAGTCTTAATTTTTATCATCTACTAAGCTACTTGTGGACAGAGTAGAAATTCGTTGTGTTTTATATCTTCACTAACACTTACAAGAAGAAGGTGTTGCTTAGTGGTTAAATTTCTGGGTTTGTGAGTCAGTCAAGTTTAGATTTAAATCCTGTCCATTTACCAGATGCTTGACCCTAAGCAAGTTGCAAAATCTCTGTAAATCTCAATTTCGTATTGTGAATTGGTAATAATAATACATTTCATTGTACCAGTGTGAGAGTTGATGTGTACACTGTATTTAAAGTGGTAATAACTATCTTTGGCACCTTATAAGCATGCAATTTATGGTAGCTATAAATTTTGGGCTACTATGAAGATCCATGGAATTGGCGATCCAGAATTTTGGGTTTAGTCCTTAAAATACACAGACTCTCCAAGGTAGGTGAATGAAGTTTGTTGAAAAAGAGTTATGTTAAGAATTTTTAAGTTTGCTTTTGTTGTTAAATAAAACTAGTTAAATATCTATTTATTTCATGGATAACAGAACCATCTGAAATAACTCCAGAAAAGAAAAAACTGGAGATAGTTTACCTCTCAGTGACTTCAAAAACATATCTCTTCATAATTTCAGTAGATAAATAATGAACAATCATTATCTATTGGATGTATTTTAAAAATAAGAAGAGTTAAGTTTTACCAATACTCTAAATTATACAGATATTATTTTGTATAAGAAAAGGAGCAAAATTTAAGATAAAAATAGTTAAGTGAAAAAAAACTTAAGAGTAAAATAAAAACTAAAAGAGGGAGAGAGAAATTTGTCACCTAGCTACCATTCGTTAGTTATATTACATGAATAGGGCAAGTTATGTGATCTGAGTCCCAGTTTTTTCAGAGAAACTGCAAAATCAGAAAAATAATAATTAGTGTTTTCTTGAATATTAAATGAAAAAGTAGTAATGAAAATGCCTGATGAACAGTAAGCATAGTCTTAATACTAATATTTAATGATCAGTGGAAATAGGAATTAGCTATACAAAAAACAAATAGTATAATTATATTTTCTTATTATTTATATTTCAGTAATAATTTAAATCACACATATTTGGATCAAATTTCATACTGCTTTATTATGCATGAGAATTTTTCTTAAATCTTGATATTATTATAAACATTATTCAGGTATGATGTTATATCTAAAGCCTAATCCCAGCATTTTTCCAATTGTTCTGATTTGATGGAACTGAAGGAAAGTTAGCTCTTCTCTCCTCTTTCAAGTTACTCCAATTTAGGAAGTGTTTCTGCTCCACTCATACTTGAGTGAGCATGCACAAATACCTTTGCTGAGTATTTCTGTTTGATTTTTCAAAAGCTGTCATTAGTCTTACAGCTCAAATATGAAATGCACATGGTAATTGGTAGAGCCACATTCAGTCTTCAAGTGTAGCTGAAAGTGACCCAGACACCCTGAGAGCTCTTCTTAGACTTCTAGATTTGTAAGCCTATGTGATGGGACAAGAGCAAGACAGCTTGTTGAGAGTGGGGAAAGTCCCTTTGCCTGTTGCTGAACCAGAAAGCCTTAACTGTATGACTCTCTGAGTCCGGACAATGTCTTGTGTGTTTGTTTCCACAGAGCATATATCATTACAGACTATATGGGCATCCGAAATGAAAGTTTCATGAAATTAGCTGCAGTAGGGACCTGGATGGGGGACTTTGTCACAGCTTGGATGGTAAGAAAATTTTAACTTCACCCATTTCAAACATCAAACAGAAGACATGTTGACAATGTTGGACAGACGCTGCTTTTGATGGTGTAGAGTAAAATAATTACCTCTCTTTGAGTGAAACAAATTTATGAATAAAGATAATTCCAGAGATTATATCCAATATCTGTGGACCTCAGAGAAAAATCAATGCAATTAGAATATAAGTAATGGCACTCCACCAGAATCTGTCTGTCTGTCTGTCTATCTATCTATCTATCTATCTATCTATCTATCTATCTATCTCTCTCTCTCTATCTATCTAAACACACATGTATGTTTGAGCATATAAACATATACAGTCATAACATTAATAGAAATTCTCCCTGTGAAATTATAAATAATTTTGTTTGTCTAAATAATTTTGGCTTTTTTAAAAGGCATGTACAATTTTCAGGTAAGGAATGTAGTCTGTGGCCTGTCTCAGAAGAGCATATGAAATATTTTTTTAACAATTTAAGAAATAGTTTTCTACATTCATTTTCCTCATTGAGGCTACTAATATAATGGTAACTGAGTTCTGAGTTCTCTTTTAATCTCTTTTGTATTTTCTTACTCCTCGTTACTAAAAGCCTGGAACAAACAGACAAACATGTCTTCTGCTGAGCTCATCTGTCAAGAAAGTATCTTCTGTTTTTAATTATTGGGTTAAAATTTAAAGATAGCATGTTGTTAGAAGGCTCTGGGTTCTATAAATTTATGAGAGACTCACAAAATGCAAAGAGTGTAACTCCCATAAAAATGGAGCACTTCATTAACATCATTCATAAATGCAGTTGATTCTAATTACCTTTGTCAGTCTATTCACTTGAAAATGAGGAGATATACCAGAAGGCAGATAATGCTTGACCGAAACAAGACTTGCTGTGGACATGTCCCTGCAGATATGTCCCAGATATTGTAGGTAGGAACAAAAGAGTTTCTGCCATTTCTATTGATTGCTTCTTACCTGGAACAAGTGCTTTCCAGGATCAGGAAGCAGTTGTAGCTTAACTGCTCCTACTGAGAACATCCAGGAAGAGTATCAGGTAACCATGAAAGGGTTTGTACGGCCTGTTTTTGAGCCTCCACCTACCTCTGTTGATTTTTAGAATGTTAACAGATTACTAGATGGATCCTATTCCATTAACTTTAAAATGTGAACTTGAAAAATGATTTGTCATCTCTAGAAATAGCAATTAGAGTAAGCTAGACATTGAGACCAGGCTGCCTCATGCGAAAAATGTCTTTTTTCCTGGCCGGGCACGGTGGCTCACACCTGTAATCCCAGCACTTTGGGAGGCCAAGGCAGGTGGATCACAAGGTCAGGAGATCGAGACCATCCTGGCTAACACGGTGAAACCCCGTCTCTACTAAAAATACAAAAAAGCCAGGCGTGGTGGCGGGTGCCTGTAGTCCCAGCTACTCGGGAGACTGAGGCAGGAGAATGGTGTGAACTGGGGAGGCGGAGCTTGCAGTGAGCGGAGATCGCACCACCGCACTCCAGCCTGGGGGACAGAGTGAGACTCCGTCTCAAATAAAAATTTCTTTTTTTCCATTGGAAGAAGCTTTTTAGGAGCAGATACGTAAACTTTTAAAAACGTGATTTCCTTGAAATTTGAGGGGATGTTTAAAAAATTTTTTCGACATTAATTGTGCATTGTGATTTCGACACCACTTTATGGCGAATCTGCTTAATAAAATGGAAAAGGTAACTAGATTAAGAGTCCAGGAATTTGAATTATCTGACCTGACCACCTATGGTTCGACCTTCCACAAGTAATAAACAGTTCTCTAAGGCTCAGTCTGCAGATTTATCAAATAGGGTTAACAGTTCCTTTCTGTGTTACATATTTTCTGTAAAGCTTAAATGTGTGGCCCTGTGATGTGACTTAAAATGCTAAAGTATGAGGTAGACAGAAGCACTTCATTGTGCACATTTCGGGGCCCTTCATCTCTTTAGCTTGGCTCAGTTGTTTGAGGTGATGGCAAGGGCAAGTCATTGATCCAAGATTCAGGATGCCTAGACTTCCTGAGCCCCATAAGTGGGAGCAGCCCACTTTATACCAGGCCTGGGGTCCAGAGTGTCTAGAGTTTCTTTCAATCGCCAATGCTTCAGTAGACTAAGATGATATGGTACATTGCTTCCTGACTGTTGTCTCAGAGTGAACCTGACAAAAGTTAGAGGAAAAACAATGAACCAGCAGGACCTAGAAGCTCACTCTGGAGTTTGCAGGCTCATGCCAGCCATTTATTACATAAATCATTTTCTTTTCTACTATGACAACATTGTTTGTTTATAACCCAATTCTATCCAATTCCTCCCCAGCCATTTCTTTCTATACCATAAACAGCTCTGCCTCTATTTATTGGTTCATTATATTGTTTTTTAAATTAGCACTTTTTCTTTTTTAACCATAAGGAGGGGTCCAATTGCTACAGCAGCCTTAGGAGGAAAATGCATGGTAGAGTTTTGACCAAAGACCTTTAACCCTTCCTGGGTGGATTTCTACTCTGCACTTGCCTGCTCCTCTCATTTGGCTAAGGGGAGTACAAATAATTCCACAGTTCAGCCTGTGATATTTGTCTCCTTCCAAGATCTGGCTGACCTTCATAGTTTCTTCTGATTTTACTATTTTAATGCCTTATATTTCTAGTGGCTAAACTGATAACTTCACTGTTTTCTATATAAAAGATTACTGCTACATTACAAAACTGAGACTGGATTGAGAGTCAAGCAAACGGTATTCTAGGTTGAACCCCACAATGTGATCTTAAGTCATCTAACCCCGTGGGGCCTTTCTGTAAGCTGGAAGAGAATCCAAAGTCTCTTTATGCTATGTTATATGAAACATTGACCTTTCCCCATTAGACACAGGGATAGAAATAGCAAAGAAAATACCAAGCGCTCCTGATTTTAAAATACAGTCACACAGGGAGGATTCCCAAAGCACATCATTTCTATTCCCATTTCTATTCACTGACTGGGCAGTGAGTTTCTGTATAAATATTTATATGTCTACATATGAGTATATTGATAACATTTAAAAAATAATATTTTCCCTCATGAGAGAAGTTTAAGGTAGCCTTGACCTTTGTCTGTCTATAGAATTCTCATCATGAAATGAATATCAATGATGAGAGTGACTATCATGGAAAAGCAGCTATTTAAGTTAACAATCAAAGTGTATCTTTTATATATTTCTGAAATGGAGGATTTTTCTTTTATGGAAAGAATTCAAAGCTTTTTCATAGTTTTAAAAGGCATATCAGTATTGATGTGATCCAAAGATAAGGATGGTGTCAACCAATATGAGAAGTGTCTTTGGCCCTCACATTACAGAGCTTCAAGCTCTACTGGGTCCAATTTCCTAGGCAGTTCTGACTTTTCCTGGCTCTGTGGTACTCCCCATGCAGAGGACAAGAGATGTATGTCAAGATTAAGGGTGCTAATTCTTTTGTCAAACAGATTTTTAAAATAAGTTAATATGTAAGAAATACGTAAAGTGCTGAGCGATGTAATCTGCATTGAGCTGGGTCTTTGCTATGGGCAGGAGCAGAGAAAAGCTCTGTCATGAAGATGTAAATAAAACAACAGGGGGTGTCTCATGAGACACCGTTTCCAGATATCCACCTATGTGCCCATGCACTGTGCCATTAAGTCAGAAGCTGGAGGAGAGTCGGCCAGTTCCATATCACATTGCCCCAGTTTTGCCATTGCTGCTTCAGCTTCTGATGAAGTCTAAGGTGTCAGGGGATTCCGAGGACATCATGATGGCACTTGCTTCTGCCCTTAATACCAGAGAGAAGAAGCACTTTATGCTGACCTATACCTAATAATTCCCTGTTCTAGCCCCTGGTACATCCTGTCCTAGTTGCTTCCATCTTACAGCAGTAAATGGTATGACTCACAATAGAATCAGGGAATCAGACTCTAGGTTTGAGGTTCTTGTTGGGGTGAGGTGTACAGATAAGATAAAACTGAGCCATGACCTAAGAAGACAATTCTGGGCCTGGCGCAGTGGCTCACACCTGTAATCCCAGCACTTTGGAAGGCTGAGACAGGTGGATCACTTGAGGTCAGGAGTTCACCAGCCTGGCCAACATGATGAAACCCCGTTTCTACTAAAGATACAAAAATTGGTCGGGCGTGGTGGCACAAGCCTGCAATCCCAGCTACTTAGGAGGCTGAGGCAGCAGAAAGGCTTGAATGTGGGAGGCGGAGGTTGCAGTGAGCGGAGACTGTGCAACTGCACTCCAGCCTGGGCAAGAGAGCAAGACTCTGTCTCAAGAAAAAAAAAAAAAGAGAGACAATTCTGTTAGCCAACACTGAACATTGAAGTCATCATAAAGCATCCTTCATCTCGAAAACCATATACTGTGTGTATCAACTCCTAATAGTCACAAGACATTGCTTGGCTTTAACATATTAGCGCTAGGATTATCTATTGGAATTTATATATCTGTGCCACTACTAGCAAAGGCTTTACCATGAATGTCGTAGACACATAAAACAGGAAAAAATAAATTTAGTTGTTTGCCAGTTGGCTTTCCTTTTATTTGTTTATTTATTTATTTATTTATTTATTTATTTATTTATTTTCTTATTTAATCAGCAGCGCTTTTATTTCTTAGTGGCCATAAAACAATGGTGTATCTTATAACTTTTGACGTCTTAAATTTGACACAAATATGGTATGTGAATTTGAAACAATACATTTCTCTCTAGTTACTGTTTTGGTGGCATTCTACAATTTTTATGTAGTGTTTTCTTTTTTTTAAAATTATGCTTTATGTTCTAGGGTAGATGTGCACAATGTGCAGGTTTGTTGCATATGTATACATGTGCCATGTTGGTGTGCTGCACCCATTAACACGTCATTTACGTTAGGTATATCTCCTAATGCTATCCCTCCCCACTCCCCACACCCCACAACAGGCCCTGGTGTGTGATGTTCCCCTTCCTGTGTCCAAGTGCTCTCATTGTT